TGAGCACTGCGCTTCGCTACGCCGTTTACGCTTCGAAACACACATGAGGAATATTTTACAAACAATTGCTGCGCATGTTACTACAAATCGATGACAATTTGCTTGATGAGGAAAATGAGTAGCAATAAAAAATAGCAATTCAAATAGAATCATAAATAATGACAACACCCAACCCAGCTACACACATGTTGGCAATAAAATTGTAAATGTAAGGGCATCAGTAATTCAGAAAGGGGAAGTGCTTTTCAGCACGCGCTGTAAAATAGCAATTACTGAAAATACTTACCAAGTAAAATCGCGCAAAATTGTCGTGTGTCTACAATTTACAAAGTAAGTAAGTAATATAAGAAATTGTCGAGCACAAAACCAATGGCAAGTCACAATGACAATGACAAATAGCAAAGTAATAACTTTTTCAAAAAACAGCGGGCGATGAAAGGAAATGTATCATATATATATGTATATCTATACGGACAAACATGTGGGCACGGTAGCGAACAAACCCTTTTTTAATACCGAAACAAAAACAAAAACGAAAACATGAAAGAATATTGCTTTGATATATCGGCGCAAAATAATCACAAGTTTCCAATTCAAAAATCAGCATCAAGCTTCTGCACATACTATGCATGTACTTTCATATACGCTTACCTATGTATATACATGTGTATATGCATTCCTTATATTCGTAGTGATAAGATATCGGAATGAATTGGGAGGGCGCACAACAGCGCAAAAGGCATAGAGAACAAAGAATATGACTTACAGCGCAAAATATGCCATTTAATCGAAATTAATAGATAAAACGTGTAACAAAATGAGTAAGTACAGGCGAAATGATTGTTATGCTCATACATATCTACGTATATGCATGTGTGCTTAATGTGAAAAAATAGATATATATATTTACAAACACAAAAAAGTATTTGCAATCCAAAAAGGCACTTAAAAGATAACGAATATGGCGAATTTCGAAAAAAAAAACTTTTATAAATTATCGCTAACTAAATCGAAATAACAATATTCGACAAAAAATAAATATAGATAACTATTTTACAATAAAAAAGAAGATGAATTATGATTCAGGTAGAGCTGGAGCACTAGTGTAGAAAAACTTGCGCCACGACTGATCATCGTACTAATTTTTAATCGAAAAAATAAAATAAAATTTGTTAATAATGCAAGACTATTGAGGAAAAGTTATAGCAACAATCGAAACAATTATATTCGATAAGAACATATATCGTTAAATATTGTTAAATATTAAAAAAAAAAATAGTGTTTTGTGTACATTTGGAGCACTAATGACACCTAGAAAAATCTTGGCTCTCCATCGATTATTTTACTGATTTTTATCGAAAAATATAAAACGGATAAATATGCATATATGATTATTAAGCAAAAGCTAAAGGAATGGTTATAGATAGAGGTAAGGTATTTTTTTATATTCTGACTTATTAAACTTACACGGTATTTGTTAGGCTAAAGCGCATATCTTGTAGCTTTACAAAAAACCAAGGTTCGAAATGAGTGACACTCATATCGTATTAAGAACTAGCGATGTTTTTGTAAAAAAAAAATATATATATAATTTTAAAATTAATTTAAATTTGCTAAATATTCAGTATGTAAAATTATTATACTAAATCTATTATGTATTTTATTTGTCATAAACATAATTATACAGAAAATAAGAAGAAAGGAGCATCATTTTGTACTGAAAGCAAATGATTGCATAATGCATAGCATAATGATTTTTATTGAATTAATAATTTATTATTTCGATAATTTTCCAGTAGATTTGCTCAAATTTATCGATTATAAAACAATGAAAATATATCGATAATTCGATTATTTTCGAACATTTTTCTCAAATTTATCGATATTAAAACTTAGAATTAGAACAAATTTATCGATTATAATACTTATGTATCGATTATAATACATATGTATCGATTATAAAACAAAATTATCGATTATAAAACAAATTTTTGATTGTAATACAAATTTTTTGATCATAATACCAATTTATCGATTATAATACCAATTTATTGATTATAAAACAATGAAAATAAAACGATAATTCGATTCTAAATTTTGTAATTTTTTCTCTAATTTATCGACATTAAAACTTCGAAAAGGTATCATTATGTTTCGCTTTCAAAAATATTGTCACTTTCGCCCAGTATACTTGTATAGTATATTTTTTTCATTAAAAAGTGAAATGTTTTATTCAAACCTTTTATTATTCCGAAGATACATATTTGATAAGGATTTTGTGAAATTTTCAGAAGAAAACTTTTGAGGGCTGTATATCCAAAAGTATTACTCGGATCAACTTGAGAATTTAGGAAAATATTCTTGAGATGTTATAGAATAAAATAAAACAAAAGATAGATAGATTAGAATAGAGGTATGCACAATAAGACAATAAAATGTTTTTTTTTTATTTTTTTGAAGCAGTGAAATCCATGTAACCCCTGAAACAACTGCAAAATTGTTTTTTTTTTCAATAAATGAAACTTCTAACGCATAACGATTTTTAGCTAAATATTTTTAAAATTGCGATTAAATATTTGATTCGTATATCATTAAGAAGTGCTAGAATACAGGTACCAGGCATTTTTGGTGGACTGACCTTGACTTCATATTGCGCGAACAGTAACAATAATCAGAACGACGGAATGAGGGCCCAACTATACGCCTACTTCTGCTGCATACAGAAGACTGCAAACTCGTGACGCTCCTTCATCATATGTTTAGTTTCACAAATAGTTTTACAATAAAACTAAATGGGCTTTTTTTCACAAACAACAGACGTCTGCAATTGACGTAGGTAAACATTTGCATGCAACAATAATTATGAGAGAACACCTAGAGCCCAATATAATAACCAGGCAGCGTTTAGGTGAATGAAAAGTGCACTAAGAAATGAATGGGTGAGAAAAAAAGTTGAAAATATTTAAATTTTAATTCTTTAGATTGACACGAACATGAAAATGCGCAACGAGCAACAACAGCCACGATAATAGCGTATATTGAAAGCAACAACAGCAAACGAGGAAGTATAATATCTTTGGCGAGTCATTGCGGCGACACAGGTAAGGCTAGCCAAAGCAGCGGCAATGCCGGAAAGCGGGCAAATGCAGAAAAATATCAATTTTAATCAAAAAAAATTCTTAACATTACAATTGCAAAACAGCTGAGCGACGTCGAACGACATGACGTTCGCAAAGCTTTAGCAAATCGCAATTGCGAGGTGCCGCAAAGGTAGAACCAAAGAGTCGCAGACGAGAGCGATGAGCAGTTGATTGAATGCAAGCGCCACGTAGAACGACATAGAGACGCAGAACAGAGCGCACAAGTGTGCAAGTAAATTGTAAAGTAAGCGAATCGAATTCAGCTAATCAGCCAGTTGAAAGTTTAATTAAAACGACAATTGCTTGCGCTCAAAAGCGACAAGACAAACAACAAAGAGAAGAACAAGAAAGCAAATTACATTTGTAACGCATTCAGAAGAAAGAAACGTAGAAAAGAGCAAAGCAAGTACAACAACAACTGACAGACAAAACAAACAATAATGCTCTATGCCAAAAGCAGCACTACAAAGCGTTGAAAAGGTCAAAGTTTAATGCGAATAGTTATTTTTAAGGCCCTTCAAGTATAGCCAAAATGCCGAAGACGGGCCAAAACAAACGTGTGAAAAGGCGATATGTACAATAATTTGCGACAAGCAGTTTATGGCCAACGAATTATTGTCAAACAATTATGCGTCAAAAAACTAAAAATAACAATATTATTTTTATAAAAGTAAGCGAAATATTAACTGTGTCTGTATGCAGTCAACATAATTAACACAGCGTTGCGTACCGATACGAAATGAGTAATGTCACATGCCGTTATGTGCGCATTCGCTATCTAATGCCACTACACTGGCTTGACGAATGCCACACATTTGGTGTACCTTACAAAATCCCAGCCGAATTTGTCGGCGGCAATGACGTGCATGCAGCCAATGCGGAAGAGACACGTTAAATTTCATAATTTATTAGCAAGTGTGTGAGGTAGGGGATTAAGAAAAAAATATTTGTGCAAAATACACGAAATATGCAGCGGCCAAATGCTTTTGTTTCAACACGGATATTGGCAATAAAAATTTTGTGTGACTTTTATTAGTTTATAATATTTATGTATGGCACTTGTGCATGGAAGTTAAAAATATTCTTTTGGCTGAACACTGCTTGGAGTGGAGTGCGTTAATTCCGATATTTGAGTTCTGCATTATTTATTGTTTAAGTATTGCTAAAGCTTTGCACTGTTGATTAGAGATAATGAGAAGTCAACATTTTCTGCCACGCACAATTACTTATGTTTCTTAAATCACAGCTTTGCGATCAATCGTTAAACTAGTAACACTCATAAAAATCTAAAACACTGAACACTTTTTTGGTTCTAAACGAACACCAATTTTTCGTTCGGTTACTGTAGCCGCTCACGGACAGCGCCATGTTTCGATGATTGGAAAAAGCGGTGGCATATGTGTATCGCTGCAGAAGAAGCTTATTGATGAAGATTAAAAAATTTTCGTTTTATTTACAATTTTCGCAAACTTTCTGGTCTTTATGTATGTCTGTAATGCAAATCACTGTGATATATTAATCCCACACAGCCGAAACGAAGATCACCATTTTCCTAACTGCAGATCATTATTTTGCACTTTGGTTTGCATTTCTGGTACTGTGTTTGCGTAAGAAGCTGCGAAAAGTTTCTTTTTAAATACAAGATGTTATGTGCTATAGCGCGCAGAACTTCTTTTACGCCAGATCACTTTTAAACGCGTTCTTTTAAAAAGAAACTTATATCAGTTTTTTTTAAGGATTTCTTTTTTGTTTTTTTTTTTTTTGGTTCATGCCACATTTTACAACACATTTAATTTAATTTGTTATCAAATCACTTGTTTTGCCTAAAAAAAACAAACACTTTTAGACATGTGCACGCACTTTACTTTACTTGATCTTCAGCTGTGTAGATCACTTTTACTCTGCACGCTACAAAGCGATTTCATTTACTAATTCTTTAAATTTGCCAGTACAGCAATTTGTATGTGCTACAAATGCTGACCTGTGAAATTGTTTAACAATTAGCGGTCTTATTGTTGTCATTACTAGCGTGAATTCGCACTTATTGAGTCACGTGATCAAGCGATCTAGACAGCCGCTAATGATTGATATAATTTTTCCATCATTAATAATTTATGTTTCGATTTTTCAAGAATTCCACTAATTTTAGCAGCACTTCAATGCAAAACATGTGGCTTATCTTATATTCTAGCGAACGTAGATCTTTAACGCGCTATAAAATGTGGTTTGTAATAAGGTAATTGGAAGCTTACGGGCTCTTACACACATATGGTACACAATTTATGCTTATTATGATAATAAAAAATATCCCACGAAGAAACTTTATGCGTCACAAACAGCGAACAGTGATCTTCAACGGGTTGCGCTACTCGGTATTTATTTGGTGTTGTTACTGTAGCTGTGTAAGTGCAATGCGCGTAGAGCTGCATGGATTTTTGCGTAATATTTAACCAACATTTATTACAATTATTATGTCAATTTCGGTTATTGTCACAAAAAACGCTTAATATCGCTGAAAACTGCTCTTCACTGCGGCGTGTTTCACGTTTAAACTTATTATCATAGTTCGAATATCAATTTCTTATACATTTATGTATGTATTTGCATGTATTTGCTCACGCTATTTTCGCATAAATAAGTATAATTTGCGCTATTTTAAGCGCAATCATTTTTAATTGAAAGCAAATACGTTTGATGTTACACAATTTCCGTATATTTTAAAATGTCAGCAGGTCAATTTATAGCAGCAAGTGATTCATTAAATTCTTGTTTTACGCTTTTGCTACTGGCAAGGGCAACGATCAATCAAACACTTGAGTTATGCTCTGCTCCAATTTACACACGGCGAAGCGTAGTTGCTGTGGCGCATAGCCATACAAGCGCACAAAATACAAAAACGGCTTCTTGCCTTTAAAAGCTTTGTAGAATTTTGCGATATTATGAAATAATGTGAAAAAAATTTCGCGGTGACATGCGTAGTATGGCACATAACACACACTAGCACACAATTTATTGGATTAGTTTTATGTTACTGCGTCTATTTAATACTTATTATTTTTCTATCATTTTATTTCTCAGATATTTCATAAATTTTTTCATTCTTAGTTGTTTATTCTCACGTCAATTTTGTCGCGTTCGCCGTAGCAATTACATGGTCATGTGCACTATTCCAACGACCAGCCGCTCGACCGACCGACCAACTAACTAGCACTAGCAGCGCTTGCATGTACAACTGTCAGCGCAGCCCCGCAACAAGCAATTGTGTACAATTTTTGCATGCCGCCGCTACCTCGTCACGCCCTGGTCTCACATAAACTGCTTGCATATGAACGAGCGCTAAGTCAGTTGAACGCGTGTGTGTGTGTGTGCCACAAGCGCGTCATTCAATAGTCTAGAGATCGCGATCGCGCCACTCACGATCGATATGCTTTGGCAAACTTAATGAGTAAATGCTGGCGACGATAATCATAATCCAACACTGAGCGTCGTAGCGTACACAAGAAAAGTTCTTTGAGCGGCAGCAATTTATACTAGCTAAGCAGGCAGGCCGGCCCACGATCGATAGGTGCTTCGGCGCTGCAATTGATATGTTATCTTGGCTGGCAACGACACTTAACACACATACATACTTAGCTATAAGCTTAGGCGGGCACTGGTGCGCTTGCGAAGAGCTTTATTAGTTGACGTTTGGACATTGAACAAAAAAAAAACTTTTTCAGCTCACGCCATTTCTTGCGTTTGTTTTTATTACAATATTGTCACAAATGTATTTATGTATGTATGTAAGCATTAACTAGCGTTTTATTGTGTCGTTTTTGGCCAACTTTTGGATCGTAAGCTCAACGGTAAGGTAAACAAATCAGCTGTTGTTTTCGTCGCTCTTTAAATAAAACGATAAAGCAATTTCTAATCAATAACTTTCGTTTTGTTTGGCTACGTTATTGCCGTTAGCCGCTACCGCTCGGTTTATGAACGCCTGTGAAGTGCACAAGCATTTAGGTACACACAAATGGTTTTATGAAAATGACGTCACGCCGAGGATTGACAAATTCGGCGCTTGAACGTCGGCTGAAGACGTTGGCGACGAAACGGTAGCAGTCACCAATAATAATTGCGATCGTTCCACATGCACAGCTATTGTATGACAGCAATGTCACGGTGCACCGCTTGCAAACAACACGCCATAACTGCTCAACATACGAATTGCAACGCTGCAACGGCGTTGGCGAACAAGTTTGCCAACGAACGAGGCAAACGTGTGAACGCCGTTTCGCCGCGCAAGCGCTGCCGCCATGCGTTGCTGACAAGCCAAGTTCAAATTTGTTAAAACAATTAGTTTTTGATTTGCACTATCCAGCATTTGTGCTTACTGCGGTTGTAAAATTTAATTTTTGCGCCGTCATTGTGTCACGTTATGATTTGTTGTGCATTTGACCAGCTGATCATTGCTACCAACAACAAGACACAAGAGGCACATGTGTGCCTTTTATTTAATTAACATACCGCTACAGTTATGAAGAAAAGTGCTTAGCGCTATTTTCATAATAAAATATGAAAAAAAATATATATATATATTAAAAGCTATAGAGCGCTGCAAAATGTCCGTTGAGTGGCATCAATTAATGATCACGTTGTTTGTGTTGTTATTTTTCATTGTCTATATTTACGCTGATTCCACAATAATTGCCACTACATTTCTCGTTGATTGTCAGTAATAATTGCGAATCATAAATTTGTGCTGTTGGAAAGCAAAACGCGCCGGCCCCCCGCCTGCCTAGCGGAAGGCTGTTGGCGGTGGCATTTCAAATCGCGCGCAAACGTATGTGTACAAGTAGGTTACGAAAATTACTATCAAAATTTATTGAGATTTATGTTTTTCACTTATGAATTGATGTATATTTGTTTGTTGACACTATCATCTAAGTGTAGTCTAAGGGTAAGCATAAAGTGGTGTGGTGGGCAGCGCAGTAAGGTAAACAAGGAAAATGGGAGTAACAGATTTGCCTTAAAACACACGGCGTACACTGTGTGGCTCGGTTTGCTTATGCCCTTATTAGTACGCCGCGCTATGTGCCTAGCTTTACTAACCGCACGTTTAGTAGTTGAATTATTTACGTGTTGCCGTGTAATAAGTCATTTTAGAGAATCCATTGGATTAATTATAGCGCTGCACTAAATTTTAGAAAGTCTCACAATTAATGTATTTATTTATTGTGATTTATGCAGTCTATATGCATATTATTATTTCAAATTGTTGTTTGCTATAATTAAGTCGAGTGTCTTAATGTTGTTTCACACCCTCATTCGTGCAAATTGAAAACAACAATTATATAAGATTACAATATTGCAATAAAAATAGGCAGTTTTCTAGGAAAATATAATTTTCATTAGCACATAACAAACACTCGGACAAAATGATCGGTTAAGCATTTAATTTGAATATTTTTCACATAATGAGGTGACCAAATAAATATAAAAACTTATATTTTTGAATAATGCAATAAACAATATTTTTTTCAAATAAATATGCACATATGTATGTAACGAAGGCGATGAACCCAGTGAAAATTCAGAAACGGGTTGACGGAAAAATAAGCTTCACCTAGTATCGAAAAAACGTGTTGGACATATCGTTCATAAAAAATTTGGAGATTCATTAAATTACATGGAAGAATTGCAAGTTAGCTTCCATCCAAGTTCATAGCAACTGGCACACAGTGATGTTTTCATGCGCACAGACCGTAAGAGAATGGTTGCTGAACTGACGAAAAAATGAGGTTCATCTAGCGACGTGTTGGACTTGTCGTGTATGGAAATTAGGGGATGCATTAAATTGAAGGGCAAAATTGCAATAAATGGGCTCTTAATAGCTTCCGAGTTCGCTGCGTCTCAACTAAATTTTATCGACAATGAAAAATTAATTTCGGCATCTAAGGCTAAATGGTATTGATATAATTGGAGAACGCTATAATCAGTACATCGTAGCTTGTATCTTGGAATCTTGTATGATAAAATCAAAATTTACCAATACAAAGTTGTGATTTCCTTTGAAGTAATACGAACTTTCCAGTCTGACTGTTGCCTTGTAGTGCATTATCAAGCGTCTCAGCAGCTTACTTGTTTCATTAACCTATTTGAAGAAAACTAGTGAAACACTGGTATATTTCTGAAGAAAATCTGACAATTGAGATTTCATATGATAAAAATGGTTGTATGAAAAATAGATTAATCGCTTGACTAGTTAACTAGGTAATGTTATTATGACTAGTTCGACAACAGCTTACAACTAGTACGCCACATTGCAGGGTATGTTAGGTATATGTTTTCATGTTAAATTTCAATCACGTAATTTCAGATGACCTTCATACCATTGCGACGCAAACACATACATATAAAAAATTCCATCAATATTTTAAATGCTACCGGATCAGCCGCAGTGCTGCTATCTAGCAGCGAATAGCCGGCAGTAATCCAATATGATCGAACCTACCCAACTCGGTTTCGTGTTGTACTTTTATGGTCACAAACGAAAGCAGCAGGAGCCGGTGGAGAAGCCGAAGGAGCTGGCAGAGGCAGCAGCAGCGTGCCTCAGTTTGCATGCCATTTCATGCTTTGTAGCGCCATAACCTGAATGACCTTAAGTTAATGTTGTTACTTTTTATTACGAGTTATGGTTTATGCTGCTTCAAACCACTCCTTAAACTTACGCAACATCTCACCCTGACCGCGCAACGCATTAGCTCGAGGCGCACTTTGGCATACGATGCTATTAGCGCTAATGCTCGGCATATCCTGTTTGAATAGCACTTTGCATTGCGATTGCTGGAGTAAATGCACACACACACACACGCATACATACCTATATATTTACACGTGTTTGCTGGCAGCATGTGAGTTTGAGTTTTTACACGCTTGGGTGTGTGTGTGGCGAAGGAAGCGCTGCATTATTTTATTGCTTTGCTGTTTTCTGTTGAGTTTTTCTTAGCATCTTTATTGTTGTTGCAACATTTATATTTTTTTTGTTTTATTTTAAGCTTTTACAATGCTCAACACGTCCCGCAGTTTAATCATTTGTTCGCCGCATTTTATTGCTATGCAAATGAGTGGGTGAGCAATGGTGTGTATGTGTGCCTGTGTGTGGGTCAAGGATGCCAGCGCTGTTAATTGTTTGATTTACGACGTTGTCATACCACACAGAACATTTTTGTACTTTCTTTTCGCGGCCAGCTTGACATTAAATGGATTAAGAACAACAAGTTGACAAAGGTGACATTGTGTGTGTATGTGTGTGTGAGTGGATGTGGCTTCCTTGTAGTACAATTAGAAAATTAGATAAAATTATGAAAAAAAAAAATAGTTGGAGGCGAGCCAATGGGTGTTAGGCGATGGAGGTGATGAAAAAAATAGATTAGAAAGGCCGAAAGATTACACAAATCACCGAAGATGAAGCTCAAAGAATGTGCCAGCTTTTTCAAATTTAAGTGTGAAATTAAAAATTATAAATATCAATAATATCTCACAATTATAAATTTAAAAAATATCTAAAACACTATTTGCAAGACAAATATATTTGAATTGTGTTGCCAGCTATTTAGTACACCACCAATATTAATATTTATGGCTGTGTTCGAAACAAAGTATTTAAAAGCAGGTATAAACTAAAATTTTGAAAATATAAGTCTAAACTTCTAGGGTTGCCAAATTTTCCAAAAAAAAAATTAAAAAAATAATAGGCTACCAAATTAGATAAGTATTGAACAAAATATTATATTATATTTAAATTTAGAAAACCGCATATTTAATGCAAATAAACTGTACAATAGTGTTGCCAACTTATAAAAACACACAATTTAAGTCAAGAAATCGGCCTTGCATTGAGATATCAATTAAATGGCGCAGCCAACTGTTAAAACTTGAAATTTTATGTACTTCTTTTTGAAAACAAAACAAGTAAGGAAGGGCTAAGTTCGGGTGTAACCGAAAATTTAATACTCTTGCAACGTACAAGAAGACCTCATTTATTTGAGCAAAGTTTTATCCGACTATATTCATTGATGCTTGTTTGTGTACAGGAAAGTGAAAGAATCATATGGAATTAAGATTGTGCTATATGGAAAGTAGGCGTGGTTTTGGATCAATTTCGCCCATTTTCACAATGTCACATAGGATTGTCAGGATTATGTTGTACACAGAATTTACTTGACATTGGTCGAGTAGGGTTCGGAGATATGGGATTTCAACTAAATGTGGACGATGCGGGGTCACACCCATTTTTTAAATCACAGGTGCTCTTTGCTACTGCAATCCCCATTACCAACTACTGTATATTAATTTAGTGATTAGTTATGGCAATTTATAGGTTCTCGATTAATGGCGTTTTGTGAGCGTGCCAGTGGCCTGCCCAGCTACGAACGCGTTCTTACTTTTTTGCCAAGGAACATGTGTACCAAGTTTCATTAAGTTATCACTTGCACAGACAGACGGACGAACCAACGGACAAATGGACGGACGGACAGACACACAGTCACGCGGATTTCAACTCGTCTTGTCATTCTGATCATTTATACTATATACCTAACACTATCTTTAACTTGTAAATTTACATGTTACAAATAACCGTTAGTTGGCAAAACTATTATACTCTGTAGCAACATGTTGCAAGAGTATAAAAATTTTGCCTTGGAAATTCAGTTCAAACTTAATAAAAGTAAATTTTTCACATTTGTAGGATTTATGTCAGATAAAAACTTTAATGAACTAAGCAAAACATTTCAAGGAAGCGTAGAGTTTATTTAACTAACCAAAAGCGACGCTGTCTGACGTCCTACACAGTGCCACAGCAAGCGCAGCGCTTTTAATGGAAATCCAAAATAAATTGTCAGCCAATTGTCCAAGCTGACCCAATTAAATTTCTGGCAATTATCGCTTCAATTCCAGTTGGCTATAAAATTGTTGTTGTTACTTTTTATTTCATGTTTTTTGTATTTGCTGCTTTTTTCATGCACCATCAAGACTCTGACAAGCACGACGAGATGCTACGGTTCGTTTTTAATTTTTTGTCGTCTTCACGGCAAAGATTCAAGCAGAAGAAAAAGAAAATTTTATTAAAAAAACAAAAAACAACAAAAAACACGTACAAATTTAAAAGCATAAATTTAGCGCAGTAAAATCCGGTGGTACATG